TTTTTTGAGATGAGTCTTGCTCTGTCACCCAGGCTGGAGTGCAGTGGTGTGATCGGCTCACTGCAACCTTTGCCTCCCAGGTTGAAGCAGTTCTTTTGCCTTACTCTCCCAAGTAGCTGGGACTATAGGCGTGCCACCATGCCTGGCTAATTTTTGTATTTTTAGTAGAGATGGGGTTTCACCATATTGGCCAGGCTGGTCTTGAACTCCTGACCTTGTGATCTGCCCACCTCAGCCTCCCAAAGTGCTGGGATTACAGGCTTGAGCCACTGTGCCTGGCCTGGCTTGCTTTCTTTCCGCTTTTTTTTTTGAGACGGAGTCTTGCTGTGTAGCCAGGCTGGAGTGCAGTGGTGCGATCTCAGCTCACTGCAACCTCTGCCTCCTGGGTTCAAGTGATTCTCCTGCCTCAGCCTTCCAAGTAGCTGGGACTACAGGCGCGTGCCACCATGCCCAGCTAATTTTTGTATTTTTAGTAGAGATGGGGTTTCACCATGTTGGCCAGGATGGTCTCAATCTCTTGACCTCGTGATTCACCCCCCTTGGCCTCCCAAGGTTTTGGAATTACAGGCGTGAGCCACTGCACCTGGTGTGGCCTTATTTCTTTATATCTTAAATGTTTAAACTTTGTGTAAAATTCAAATACCAGATTAGTTTGTTCGTATTAGAGGGCTTAACTTTTATTTTTAATGCTAATGAATCACAGAATTTACTATATCTCTGCATACATACAGTCCAGTTTCATATTATCTCAAATAGAATGCCATCTAACTACTTTAGAAGACCAAATAAAACCCACCTTGAATGCATAAGCTATAAACTGTTATAGCTTACATACCTATTCAAGTCACCTTTTGAGAAAGAGATTGGTTTGATCTTACAGTTCTTATGTTTGACCCTGACTGAAAAATTATTTGTATAGTGTAAGTTACAGCTTTTAGATTGTCACTTGATATTTATCCTTGTATTCCTTAAACAGTGACAAAGAACTAGGCCTATTTTAAGAAAATCCTCCAGAGTTGCATATTTCTGTCAAGACTGAAAAACAGATCTGATTGGGTATTTGAACTATGTGAAT